CCCGGGGGGGGGGGGGGGGGGGGGGGGGATTGGGCTGTGGGACAATGGTAAGGAGGGCACCCTTTTGGAAGGTTAATTGTTATTCTAGGCATACCTTTAGCATATACCCGATGCACAGATTATAGGGGACCCAACTAACATAGAGATTTAATTTCCAGGAAGCTGATCTGAGTATTGATGAAACTAAGAAACTGCCATTTACAGAACTAAATTTCATTCTTGATGCTTGCCGCCAGAGATGTCTGGACCATGCATTAAGGTATTAAAACAATAAAACCTTAATTTCTATTCCACCCACTAAAGAAATTGTGAACAACTATATGTGGAATTGTTTTTACATGCATATAATCAGTGACAAAGGAAGCTTAATAGGCAATTCCAGCTACAGACTAAGTTTTGATCTAGGCAAGGAGGACAAAATCCATCACCACAGCTAAAAAGAGCATGTTAAAATTAGTACAATTGCAAAGTTTGGTTGCGAAATGTTGTAAAATCAGGAACATATGTCATAAAGCCCTGTGAAGTTCGCAAATTTTGTATAGATTTGTATTACGCGCGTGAAAAATAATCATTTTTGAGCCGAAAGTGGTTATTTTTACCGCGCGTAATTCAAATCTATACAAAATTTGCGAACTTCACAGGGCTATATTTTCCTCATTTTACAACATTTCGCAACCAAACTTTGCAATTTTACTAATTTTAACATGCTCTTTCTAGCTGTGGTGATGGATTTTGTTCTTCTTGCCTAGATCAAAATTTAGTCTATAGTATAGCTGGAATTGCCTATTGGAGCCTAGTTGATATAAAGTAAATTAAATCTCTATGTTAGTTGGGTCCCCTATAATCTGTGCATCGGGTATATGCTAAAGGTATGCCTAGAATAACAATTAACCTTCCAAAAGGGTGCCCTCCTTACCATTGTCCCACAGCCCAATCCCCCCCCCCCCCATCCCCTCCCCTCAGAGCTACAATTCTGACAAGCTAATATGTTATACATGTTGTATGAATACATAGTTGGTGTCAAGACCACAGGCCACAATTAGAAGAGAAAGGCAGCTTGCTGGAATTTAAACTTCATAGATTAAAATACATTAATCTATTGGTAGAAGGGAATATTACAGCTGCACTTCGTTATGCTAACAACTTTGTACCATTTTCAAAACAAAATTCAAAAGGTTGGTATCTTAATTAAACGCACCATGTGTTATTTTCCTAGCATCTTAATAAGCTAACTACATGTAATGTTGCAGATTTACCCATTAACTATCATAAGAAGAAAATTGAACTTTCCGTTAATGGACAACTTGCATGTTAGACTAAATTTTAATCTAAGCATAGAAAAGGGAATCAAACACCACAGCTAAAAAGAACATACTGAAATTAGTAAAAGTGCAAAATTTGGCTGCGAAATGTTGTAAAGCTTGGAAAATATAGCCTTGCAAAGTTTGCATATTTTCATTATATTTCATTACGAGCGGAAATTGTTACCATTTTCGGCTCAAAATTTTCCGCACGTAATACAAATATACTGAAAATATGCAAACTTTGCAAGGCTATATTTTCCAAGCTTTACAACATTTCGCAACCAAATTTTGCAAGTTTACTAATTTTAATAAGTTCTTAACGGGAATTTACTTTTTTTTTTGCCTAGATCGGTTAGATCAAAAATTTGTCTAACATGCAAGTTGTCTATTGTGTTTTTGAATGTTAAAACTGAACTCTCACCATTATACAAAGAATGAATGTTTATGAGTGCAATGGTAAAAATATTTTCATGAGGTGAAAGATGGAATGTTCCATTCAATGAGGCGACAGCCGAGTTGAATGGAACATTCCATCTTTCACCGAATGAAAATATTGTTACCATTGCACGAATAAACATTCATTATTTGTTTTTTATAATACCAAAATAGAGCTTTTTCAAGAACAGTTTATTAAAACACCATTTAATATTAAAATAAATGCACACATTTTGACGGATGCGATTTATCGAAAACACAAGAGTGCAATGGAATAAAACGTATAGTACAATTGCACTCGCAAAGAGTGCAATGGAACGTATTCCATTGCACTCTTGGGAAATGGAATTTTCTATTCAATATCACGTGACCATAAACAGCCAATGAAACAATCAGAATTCAATAAGGTATTATATGAAATTGGTTATTATAGATTTCCTACATGGTAAATTAATAAAAAAACATGTTTAATATCTACCATCAATGGTACTTTATTTGTGTCCTGTGCACAGGAAAATACCATTAGTGCTAAATATTAAACATCATGGTTTTTACAAATTTACCATATAAGAAATCTATAATAACCAATAATGGTAAGAGTTTAGCGTAGTAGTAGTGCCTTCCACGCGCGGGTGAGTTGCAGGCTGTTGTCAATTTGTGGGCTATCTGTTTCGGAAAATATCCGAACTAGGCCGGTCAACCTGCAAACCTTGTCAAATACTACCCTAATTGGCCTAAAATAGTAAGGCGGAAGCGAAAGGCGATGGAACTAGGCTGATAAGAGGGCAGTTTTTATATTGATAGTATACATGGTAGCCTAGGCCTTTACTCGGCTGGCTTTGGCAAGTTTGGTCAATTTCAGGCTAGCATTTGGTAAGTATTGCGATGGTGTTTCGCTTTCGCTCTTTTCCTCCGCCCCGCCCCCAAATCGGTTAGGTCCCAGTCTATCTAAATATTAAAACAATAAAAATAAAAATAGAAGGTCTACTGTAGGTCTAGGCTGTATACTGTACATGGTAAATAAAACATTAAAAACCATTCAAGAACCGATTAATGGAAAATTTTTCCTGTGTATCCCTAATCACTTTCAGAAATCCAACAGTTAATGGCGTGTTTAGCATATTGTAAATCAGGTCTTGAAAACTCTCCTTATGCAAACTTGCTGGATCCTGTACATTGGATAGAAATATGTGAAATATTTACCCGTGATGCTTGTGGTTTGCTGGGATTATCATTAGAAAGTCCTCTTGAGGTGTGTATTTCAGCTGGGTGTCAGGCATTGCCGTCGTTACTACAGATAAAACAAGTCATGCAACAGAGACAATGTTCTGGCGTGTGGACATCTAAAGATGAACTACCTGTAAGTATCTTGTTGAAATTTGAATGTTGGGTTCTAGTGTAGTTAGCGATGAACAACGCGCTTGGTTGAATGATAGTCTAACTCCCTGCTGCCGCAGGCAGATTTAATGAAGGAGAAGTACAGACCATGCAGAGAAAGCCCTCGAAGTACAGGAGAGAGCCTACTAATCTGAACAAGTTCATAAAAGTAAAACTATCTGACCGAAGTAACAAAAAAATTACAATATTTAGTCAGGGGATCCACTCACAAAAGTGATTTTCAGTGGAGCCCTGCTAAAAAAATAAAACTAACAAAAGTGAATGTATGAAAGGTTATATAGTATAAAGTTTTTGCGCATCCTATCAGTTCAGTAGAGTGTCCTATGTAGCTAAATGTTTCTTTAGTTTAGTTTCAAAAGTTTTAATTTGACATATATTCCGGAGTTCCACAGGCAGACTGTTCCAGTCGTTGGCAGCATGGTAGCTGAATGCCTGCTTCCCCCAGTTCTTCTTGACGAGTTTTATCACCCCACACAAAATCAGCGTGGTCAAAGATCGGCATGACAAGGCTGTTTACTAGATTACGATGAAGTACTGAAATCGACTTGGAGCCGGTTGTACACTTTTACGATTCGAATTAGGCTGGATAGCGCTACCCACCGGGTAGTGATTTTTTCAAAATTCATAGAAATGCCAAAAACATGTGAAACGACCGATTTAATCTTGGTTATAGTATTCAACGGTCAATTTTAGAAAGGTTGAAAAAAGCACTATCCCATGGTCATGGATAGGTTAACACTATTTTCCATCCAGCAAACTGACCTGACGTCATTTTTGGAAGATGGAGGAGGTGTTAAATGGCTATGTAACTAACCCAAACCCTACCCCTACTCTTACCCCTAACCGCAACCCCAACTCTAACCCTATTAACCGAATTAATAAAAAAATCCAAAAAGAAACGACTTTAGAAAATCGATAGGGCGGTTTGCTGGATGGAAAATAGTGTTAACCGCATGGATAGCACTAGTACAACCTGCAAAAATGGCCTTCACTTTTTACATTTGTCAGCTTGTTAAATCATTCAACAAAGTTCGTAAATAGCTGTAAGTATTTAGCTAACTTTACCTAAAACTAAATTAATCCTACATATATTAGTCTATATAATTTTATTTATACTGCAGCTCTTTTCGATCTAGCCTGAAAGTACACCCATGCTCACACTGTTTATTGTTTTTCAGATTGAGATTGATTTAGGTTCAGAACATCGATATCATTCTCTCTTCGCTTGTCCTATATTACGTCAACAATGTACAGACAGTAACCCGCCACAACGACTGCAATGTGGTCATGTCATATCAAAAGATGCTTTAACTAAACTTACCAATGGCAACAAGTAAGTAACACAGTATGACCGTATTTCTTCTCACAATATTTTCTCCACTTGTGCCACGGTTTTAATAAAACCTAAGGGACCTGTCATTATTTATGGCGGGGGGGGGGGGGGGGGGGGTGGCACCGAAGAGAGAACGGTTGGGTAAACAAAATTTTGAGTAAGTAAAAGGTTGGGTAAATGAAGAACAAAACAACTCAAGGGTTGGGTAATAAAAAATATTGTCATTTCCAAAGTGTGACTCACTGAAATATTGGAGACTAAAAAGCATATGTTATGTACTGTAAATACAATATGTGAATCAATCTGAGTCACTATCTGTCATTTTCCGTTATGTTGGGAAACAAATGGTGTCTCCAATTTAGAAACTACATGTGCAGACATTATGAGACTTTAGACGGCAGAACATTTCACAATCCGTTATCAAACTCATGTCACAGAAGTGGTAAAGGACATGGTCACAACTGAATGGTATCCTTTTGTAAAATTTTTGGCCAGGGGTTTGTATTTATTTTTTAATTGATATTTGAGGTTGGGTAATCAAATTTTTGACTTTGTAATGGTTGGGTCAGCAAAATTTTTCCCATGAAAAACATTTCTCTTCGGTGCCACCCCCCTGCCATAAATAATGACCAGTCCCTAACTGAGAGTAGTTGCGAAAAATATTTAGGCCATGTTACACGAGCTAATGTTCCTGCTCCATGTAAAAGTTGGTTTACATTATCAAAGTTTCTATGATCACAGGATGGATTTTGCGTGTAAGTAAATTCTAAGTTTTGAAGGATTTGTAAAAAGTGTTTGAGGGAATTGTTAAACTTCAAAGTCAGTTCCCTCAAACATTTCTTACAAATTCTTCAACACTTAGAATTTACCTGTACAAAATTCATACTAAGATCACAAAAATTTTGATAGTGTAAACGAGCGGCCTTAGCACATTTTTTTCTCCTGAAAAATGTGTAACTTGTTTTGCGATGTGCAGTGGAGTTATATTTTTCGCATTGAATTATGGAAGAATTTACCTGATTGTAAACAACCAATCAGTCCAGCCTAGACCTAGGCCTTCTATTTTTATTATTTTTTAGTATTCAGCGCTTTTTCGCATGAGAAGACTGGTACTTAGGCGATTTGGGAGCGGGGCGATACTTACCAAATGCTATCCCGAAATTGACCAAATTTGCCAATGCCAGCAGAGTAAAGTCAAAGGCCTATAGGTCTAGGCTGCAATCAGTCTATTTCCTGATTGGTTGACTTTTAACCGATGTGAGCCTTGTGTAATACTCTGCCGCAACTTATGGGCGTCACACGAATCATTGTTACTTTCAATTTGCATGCAACGTTGCAAGTCGCAGCAAAAATTGCCTGTATTACGTGGCCTTCAGGTCCTTTTAGAACCGAAGATTTGAAATAGTTTAACGTATTATAGGTATGTGGCATGTCATAAACTCTTTTTCTCTTTTTTTTGTGTTAGGGTCAAGTGTCCATATTGTCCAAAAGAAATGTCACCTAATGATGCTCGAGAGCTTCATTTCTACTAAAACATCTGGTATATTATTTAGTCGGTTTATTGTCACGAGAAAACTACACTGACGTATAATGTCACGATGCCGTAAGTGTGACACGTGCAAAATGGCGGCATGTATATCGGTGGCTTGCTATACAAACTGGCCTCAAATGAAAACTGGACAGTACAATTTGTCGCCGATAAAAAGCAACATATATAGCTGACTTTTGAAACAATATATATTCGAGAATAACTGCGAAAAACATGCACTCGTAATGATCGGACAACAAGCTTTGTGATTGGTTGATTGATTCTAAAGAACGAGTCGTGGATCAGTAGAGAGGTTCAGATTTGACTTACGCTACTACTACCTCTCACTGGCTTAGTACAGGGTTCGAAATAACGTTCCGAAAATATATCAAATTTTGTAGGCTGTTTTTCGTAGGTGAACATTTTTGCCGGCTATTTTCCAAGCAAAGTTTAGTTATGTTCTGGAGTGGGCAATGGGCATAGGCCAAATAATAGTGATGTAAACTAACACAACATTTGTAAGAACACAGTAATACATTTTATTTGGTGTATAAACAAACATTAACAAGTTCTGTGTATATGTACTGTGTTATTGTAAGCGAGTCATCGATGAATAAATATAATATTTTCGCCGATCCTCTGTGCTTTGAAATTAAAAATCGCCGGCAAGGTCCTAAAACTGCCGGCTATCGCCGGAAGCCGGCGGCTATTTCGAACCCTGTACTTAGTACGCATCTGATTGGTTAATTAGATCTATCAAACGCATATGATTGGTTAATTAGATCTATCAAACGCACCTGATTGGTTAATTAGATCTATCAAACGCATCTGATTGGTTAATGGTCCCTTAATGGTAGTGGTAGTGGAAGTCCAGATCTTGAGATCTGAATCTCTCTAATACATGTTCATGCAGGATCTTTGGCTCATTTCTACATATAAAGTCTTCTGCAGAGGCTTACTTCGGACTGAATGTGTACCTTAACCAGGGCAGCTGTATGCAGGGGGGGCAGCATGAGCAACTGCCCCCGCAGAGGAAATTTAACTTACTAATGTTTTAATGTTATTGTAAATTATTCCGCCAAATTGCGCTAATAATCTTGTGAATCACATATTTTGGGAAATTTATAACGTCAAAAATGTTCTTGTATTAGTTGGGCAATTAATTCTATATACGTCGGGAAAATTAATATCCGCCACCCTAAGTTTTTTTTTCTCGTACACCTATGTTTGATTGTTTGGGTACTTATTTCAGTACATACGTATTACTGCCCCCCCCCCCCTGGTGAAAAAATCCTGCGTACGGCCTGCACTAAACTGATCTAATTGTCTCTGCGGAAGAGAGAGACTAATGAGATTAATGTGACTCATTAGTTCAATTCGAGTGTCTGGCTTTCGTTCAACTGTTTTTGCATTTTTGTGTCGAGATATGTATTATTACCAATTTCAATAATATCTTAATACCTGTGATATATAATTAGCATTTAAATTGTGCATGTCCAGCTGCGTTTTCTATGAGTATAAATGTAAATAAAATTTAACCATCGATAATTTATTCTCCCACCTACGTTTCGTTTCCTCTTTATCGTAACTCGAGAAGGTATTAAAATATTGTAAGATACAACCCAGAATATTCGGTCCTAAGGTGGCACTAGTTCCCTGCTACTCAGGGTATAATTTGTACTGGGAAATCGAACAACTCGTCGAGCTCCAAGACAGACTATGATAAACATATTTCAAGACTTGTCGTTATTGCGAGTTTTTTGTTTTGCTATTTCCTTAACATGTAATGTTACAAACTCCTGGACAAACTCCATTTCAAACAATGTTTCCACGAAGTGCCATCGGCCTGCTTATTACGCTGTACAACCGAGGCTAAAATGTGATGCGAGACAAGATTATGATGCGGCGACAAGAGCTAGTACTGGTGAGACAATGAAGCAAGACATGCAAATGCCTCGCATTGATCCCATTCAGGTGTGTATGTTTCTAGGCCTGAGATTGCATGAGAGTTGGCAGTATAATGCCTTCCCAACACTATCGTGTATTCTATTGGAACACTCATCAAACCATCAAACCTTTATTCTGTTGATCTAGAGCTTGAAATGACCCTGTATTAACAATGCGTTCAGACTGTCTGCCAACTCTCATTTGATCGCGGCTTCGCGCAACGAATTTGAAACCGTACGCATTTATACGCAAATTCGTCCGCTTCCATCTGTTCATACAGAAATTCATACGATCAGTTGTGTTCAAATTAACCCGGTTTCGAAAGCAAAATCCGTAGTCAGTCATCGTAATATTTTATTTCAAGCATGTCAATAAAGCATTGCCCTCTGAATATTTGTATTGAGACTTCCGCGTGGCCTCTTGTAAAACGCGGACTGTGGACTTGTTGAACTTGGACTGTTACAACTGGTAAGTTTCGAGCAAAGTTGACTCAAAATAAATAAGTTAGTTTCGCTATCGTGCAGCTGATGAATGGTCGTCAACCAGCGAGGGACGAGCCGACGAGAACTTGTTGCGGGCCCCTGCCATCATGGGCCCCTAAAATTAAAACATTGGAAAAGGTAAAAAATATAGATTTTAATTTTGAAAATTAAGATATTACAATTTATATTTTAAAAATCTAAATTTACGAAAATATTACCGAAAAATTTAACAAATTACGGTACATTCATTCGAAAGTTACTCCCCCAACAATTTTGGGGAGAAAAAGAATAATTAGCGACTGAAAAGTTTGATCGGTAATACCCCCCCACCCACCTTCCCCTCACCACAACCTTGATCCGTCCGTCACTGGGCCCCATCAGGCGTTGCTCATTCGTCGTCCTTTTCAAGACACCAGCACGTCCCTGCTGAACCAGCAGTTATCAAAATGAGAAAATAATGTTAATAGACGCTTCCAGAAAGTTTGTCATCCGTTGGCTAAAGAGCCGAGTTTTCATCATTGAGACGTTGGCTTTACTAATGGACCATACACGAAAACGAGGCTCTATACCCAGAATGACGTGGAATCATTGATATATCATTTTCGTTATTGGAAGAAGAACGTCTTCACCACCATGTAACGCGTACTGAAACACACCTCTCCGTAACATAACGTGCACTTTGTATAAGATACCTTACTGATTATGTACCCTTCAGGAACCACGCGAAATAAAAATGACGTTTTTGAAAAAGTCCTGCCTTGTAATGTCATGTAATTGTTCATTTTATTCTATCATTACTATAGGTTGGTTTTACTAGAACAGTTCGACATGAGGGTAAACTCTATACCCTTAAAACACTAAGTTTAAGGCCACCTGTCTTTGGTAAGCAAGCATTTCACTTCGATGTTATTCTGTTTTCCACCTCAACCGTAACGTTTCTAGAAACGTTTTTATTTTTTAGAGATTCGAGACTTCTTGAGCAATGATGAATGTGATGAGATCGTTGAAATGGCGAAGTCGAATGGATTGGGAACCAGTGAAACTGTATGGAGTGAGACTGATGAAGTTCTGGCTGATGGAAATTTACGTGCAGTTTTTGGAAGATTGGATGTGAACAGTGATAACGGTCTTGATTATTTTGAAGTGAGTGTCAATTCATCGTATACCAGTAAGGAGCTGGCTAGTTTGCGTGATTTCGCTTTGCCGGATGGGATGGGATGGAATGGCGGCGTTGAAAAACACGCTCAGGCAACAGCAATAACATAACACCCCTGACCTACAATCATGTGATGCGCGTACCCCCCCCCCCTCCCTCCCCCTTTTGTAGAGATTTGAAAAATAACTCGAAAAATTCAAAATTACAGTGTTTTGGATCCACATAGTTCCACAGTTTTTCTGGCATTTTTATCAAGGTTGAAAAAATCACCATGCGTTTGGCGATATATAAACGCCCTGGTTGGCGTTGCATAACAAAACCGATCCCAGATTTCCGAGGATTACCGCTGTCCTTATTTCTGATAGCAGTGGAAATCAATTACGACTTTATAATGACAATATAAATTCCTGATTTCAGTTATTGGATGGTGTACGAGGTATCAAAGATATTCAAGTCGAAGTAGACGATCTAAAAGAAATGTGAGAATTATGTTTCTCGTGAATGTTCTCACATTTTCTAGTTATGTTTTCTCTTATATGAACGTAACATGTGCAGAATGACTGTTCATAACATACACACGTAAAAACGCACAAGTTGTAACAAACCTGCAGCAGACTTGTAGCAATCTGTTCCAACAACTTGTCAACAGGATGTGTTCGCACTGCTTGTTCCCAGCTTGTTCCCAGCTTGTCAGCGGCTTGTTGACAACTTGCTACAAGGTTGTTGAGATCAACAGACTTGTTACAAGTTGTTCCAACAACTTGATATCGTCCTGCAATTCGACAATTTGTCAACAAGTTGTGAGTGACAACCTTGTAGCAACTTGATAAAATAACAGCATTGTTACAACTTGTTGACAAGCTTGCTACAAGCTTGTTGTGAACACATCTTGTTGACAAGTTGTGAGATTTTTACGTGTGTACATCATCTTCATTATCATCATTAACCACCATCATCATCATTAACCACCATCATCATCACCACCACCATCATTACCACCAGTATCATTATCACCATCATCATCACCACCACCATCTTACCACCACCGCCATCATTACCACCACTATCATCACCACAACCATCATTACCATCACCATCATTACCACCATCATAATCACCATCATCATTACCACCACTATCATTACCACCACTATCATTACTATCGTTTTCAGTTGATGGATGTAAGACCTTACAGGTTTTCCTTATCACCTTTCACCACATGAGACGGTTCCCAAAGTCAAAGAATCAACTGACGTATAACGTCTTTACTGCTTCTCTTCATCAGGCAATATTTATAAGAACAAAGTGTTCGTTAAAACAAATCGAGAAATGTGACAATATTTCTTGAAAAAAGTCGCCACAAGCATTACTGTAAATTTTTTTCTAAATTTTAGGTTCCAAAATTTTGGGTTGGATTTCTTTGAAGATGGTATGCATATTATTTTAATGCCGATATATAACTTATTATATATTTTAATGCCGATAGTTTATAAAATTACTTGCATCTTCCATGTATCTATGTTTCTAGGTAAAATAACTTTCAGTGAATTTGAAATATTAACGAATCCTGAAATGTTTGAACAAATCAAGTCTTACTTGGGTCAACTTGAAGGGAAGAAGTCAAGTCTAAGAAATCGGCAAAGTTTTTCCGCATTTCTTGATCCTTTAGTCGACGAACGTCGGCGAGAATTCTTTGAAAAACTTCATCAGAGGTATGAGTCATATTCAAGTCTAATTGATTGGAAGGAATCTTAATTCTAGCAGGTTATAGTAATACTTCACTATGTGATAATGTGTTTGTTTTGCAGGATTTCCAAAGTTACACAGTTACCAATAGAAATGATCAGAAGTAGTGAGGCCTTACAAGTGAGTATCGGAGGTGGAATATTTTTACTTAGTATTTTTGCACCAGTGAATATAACAAATCCTACAAGTTGATTGGTCAGATTTGACGTAGTAAGCTTTATATTCACCTACATGTGAATATAACAAAACTGAAATTTGCAAAATGGCGGCTAACTGTTTTGTGGAAGTTACTGATAAACAGAAATAATATAATAATAATATAATTTATTAAAATAAATTGTAATGTGTAAAAGTATTAAAACAATTATTCGCCTCAGGCTCGGTGATTATCTGAATTATCGGGGAATATTCACGTCGACTTCGTCTCGGTGAATATTCCCCGATAATCACCTCGCCTTCGGCGAATAATTGTTAATTAATTAATTAAACATTTAATATTCCTACCTGGTTGGACCATCCAGGCTGTGCAGTTTGCAATTTGATTTCGTACCCCGATTATTCCGCAAAGTTTCCGTCTCATTGAATTTCTCTGTCTGTGTTACAGGTAATCAAATATGAAGTTGGCGGTCACTATCATGCCCATCATGACTCTGAAGATAGTGAATACGCGCCATGCTGTCATTTGGTGCAAGATACCGGTGAACTGTGCCGTCCATGTAGGTGAGATACAACTGGCCCCAACCCAAAACTCCCAAATATAGCCTCACATATTGATTTTGTCCACCAGAACATCATGGAACAATTCGATAGTTTCTTCGAAAGCCTTAGCATTTCGGAATCATCTTCGCAGAATATAAAAAAGAAAACAACTTGATACAAACACCAGTCTATACATTCGTAATACCACACCTGCATGTTCTAGAAATACAGGTGGACTAGTTAGCTCATTATCCAGTACGTGTTTTCGACGATTTATCATGCATCTAAACCATAGTCGAACGACTACCATCGGATCGTGTGCGGCTAGGATAAGACTCCCTAAAGTAATTTGAATTCATTTGTCTCGAAGACCGGTCAAATTCAATGAGTAGAAAATTACCTTATGTGTACTGTAAGAACAAAATATCGTTAACTATGGGGGTGGGGACGTTTCTAGTGGGGCGGGGTCTTGGAAGAAACGTCCATATGACGTTTCTCATGGAGAAAATCGATATGTGAGGCTTCCCTAAGATGCAATTGAAGATTATATCCCATTTATCAGGATTTTGGACATCATTCGGTAGAACTAAATGTTGATGAGTTTTTGCAGATGGAAATTTCGAATATATGTATGTTTTACATTTCTACACCTGGTCAAGACTCAAGAGCAGCTGCGACAACTGGACTCTGTAACTCGGTTGGTTAGAGCGCTGCACCGGGATCGCAGGACCGCAGGCTCGATTCTCACCAGAGGACCTATAGTTGCACTTTTCGCAGCTGCTCCCAGGGGCGCCGGAAGCAATGTGAAGCGGCAGGGGCAGCCATTTCAAAAGGGCACTTCATTTTTCTGAGCGGCAATATTTGTTAAAACTTTACTGAATGGATACTCGATTACTTGTGGCTATTATGGGTTGGCAAACTTCGACATTAATTTTGAACACTGTGCTAAAGGTGCAAAATAAAATCAGTAAACAGACATATATTGCTTGATGTAGCATTAGTTTTACTGCAACTGGTTAAAATTTAAGCAAAGATTGCTTAAACATTGCTTAAAAATAGTTACAAATTCCAATTCCTGTGAATAACGAACGAATTTGAAAGTGCAGTTCCAGTAAAAAGGGCAACCTGTT